TATATAATAATAATATATATATATATATATATATATATATATATATATATATATATATATATATATATATATATATATATATATATATATATATATATACATACACATGGCCGCACCTATAATAATAAAAAATACCGTTACAACTCATACTGCAACAGAGTTATCGGCACACAGCATCTCATATCGCAATAAAGAAACCCAGTCAAGGATGTCCGTGCACCCCACACCATAATCGAAGACAGACAAAGATACAGATACACCCTACCGCAATAGGTGACAGGAGCATATCTCGCATCCTCTCGCCCAGAGATCGATCTTCCACGGTTAGTCCACTTTTGGTGCCCATGGTTGTATACACAGCGCTCGCCTTGCGCTCAGCCTTCGCCTCCTCTGTGAACAAGTACACACGCACATCAATACACTACATATGACAGTCCTGAGCCGATGGCCTATGAGGGTAGGCTACCTCACGCAATGGTTTTGTTTATATGTACGACGATGTCGGTCTCGACAGGAAGTATAGCAAGTACGGGTGTGTGTTTGTGGTATGCACCAACGCACAAGCCATCGATGAGATGTCCATACTGCGGGTAGGCGCATCGTAGGTAACCCAACGTTGTGAATGGACGTGCAAAAGGCTCGCATCACCTGACTATTCAATCAGTGGGATGGGTTTATATATATATATATATATATATATATATATATATATATATATATATATATATATATATAATACATACATACATACATACTTACTTACTACACACACACAAACACACACACACACACACATACATACACACATACATACATACATACATACATACATACATACATATATATATATATATATATAGGTAAACGCATGTGCACACCCAGCACAGCCACACGTGTACACCGTCCATGGGAGTGAGCTACAACTTACCAATATACCGTGTCTGTGTTTCTCGCGCGGTCGCTTCTATGAGAAGACAGTACACGCTTTTGATCACACTGTTCTCGGGTTTCTGTGGGGACGGGTGGATGGGACTATGGTGTCAGTCACTCACATCTCAACAAATGTATCGACAGAAATAATACACTACGGCAGTTTATTGGATTTGCTGGTACGATACCGAGCCTACGAATCATGCTGACTGAGCGTATACATACAAACGAGTGCGCATGCACATGTGGATTTCCCATATTTGGAACCTCGAATACTGTCCGTTCGCTCAGGCATGCATAGGCATACTTGCACGCCACATACATACACTTTAAAGATACATACATACACTCGGCCAACACCACACTCACATGCACTCAAAATATTCTATTGAGATCATCGTCATATTTATGTGTGTCAGCACGGCGCGCGAGTCTCGATAGAGAGAGAGAGGGAGAGCGAGCACTCGGCGTCACTATTGAGTGCCGGACTGCTGGCCCATTGGGTGGTGGCTTTGCGCAGAAAAAGACTCTAAGTCCTCACTGAGGTCAACACCATCACAACAAAGTTGCTATTGAGGGCATCTCGTGGAAGCAGACAGTGGGGTCTATATTAATGTATCGCCTAGAACAAACACATACATGAAGATAATATACATACATATATATATGTATATATATATATATATATATATATGACAAACACATACATTAAGATATTCAAATATATTTATATATATATATACTGCTCGGAAACCCAACCCCAGCCACACACCGCCAGTGTAGTCCGGTTGAGCTCGTCGTCCTCGAACCCAAAGTTCTGGACTGCGGCCAAAACTTCTGGGTCAGGTGCATCAATGGGGAGATCGCGTGGGATGGAGAAGTCGGGCACACGAGCCACGCCCCCTTTGGTTAGCCATACCGAACTAAGGACATCGTGCATGCGGATGCGATCACCGCAGTTGACTGTGAGCATGCCCTGTATCAATTCGTGGGCCTCTAGTTGTGTGTGGTGAGGGGTGGTACAGTGTTAGTGTGAGTGTGTGTGGTGAGGGGTGGCACAGTAATACTGTGTGTGTGTGTGGTGATGTATGTGGCATGCCTGACACCGTCTTAGTGTGTGTATGGTCAGATGTGTGGTGAGGGGTGTGGTACAGTGTTAGTGTTCGTAAGTGTGGTGATTGTGTAGACAACAAACAGAAGTATGTGTTTGTTCGGGGGTTTCTGCTGGGCACAGTCGTCGTATATGTATGGCTAGGTGAGCATGCTTGTCCCAGTCTGATTACGTGTATTGTATGATAAGTATACATTCCACTAATTCACTATACACATGGAAGCACACGGGAGACGACTCGATATAGACATAACAGAAGTTTGGTGAGATGTGTATCGAGGTATATACACCCAGTTTGATGTGCAAAAGAGATTGCGTGGGTGTATGTGTGTATCCTAGCAACAGCCTTCCCGTAGCAGCACAACGACATTAAAGTAGTCAGGAGCAGGAGCAAGTAAGTGGTCTCTGCTTGGTCGGCGAGACATGGAACACCATCACAAGCCGGGAAGGAGACATACGCGAGTGTAGAGTGGCATGCTTGTACACAGACGTACACACATGTGTGTGATATGCTGGTCGGCGAGACATGGAACACAATCACAAGCCGGGAAGGAGACATACGCGAGTGTAGAGTGGCATGCTTGTACACAGACGTGCACACATGTGTGTGATATGCGTGCGTTTATGAATATATGTTATGCGAATACCTTTCTTGCGGACTACCGACACCGTGTGTAGTGGTATCTGCGATTTATGTCTGGTGTATAGTGGTTCGGTTCACCAGTCACGGAAGCACTCCCAGACCACCAGGGTGTATGTACATGGCAACGTACAACATACACGTGGTCACGTATAAACATATACGCATAAAAAAGTACAAACAGCCATCAACACAACCTATGTACAGGTACTGGTATGCAGAGATAGCCTCACCTTTTGACACGTGGTCGGGAAAGCACACTTTGCCCTTCATGATCTTGTCCATGAGCTGCTCCATGGTCTGAGCCTGGAACGGCAATGCCCCTGTGAGGCAGTTGTATAGGGTCACTCCCAAAGACCAGATATCTACCTACACAAGCAGTAGAAAGCGTATAAATTAGTTAACGAGCCGCGTTCATATTTGTTTATATTTAGTATACACAAATCGTGCACAAATATATGAATATATATGAATATATATATATATATACATATACCTATATATATATATATATATATGTATATGTATGTATTATATATATAATATA